AACTTTTGCTCCCAGGTATCTAATGACCTGCAGTACTAATGAATACTGTGAATATTTGGATGAATATCGTTTAGTGTTTGCAACAACAGCAACAATACATCACAACACAGAACAATAAAACTTTAAACTTCAACAAATTTTCTTCTGGTTTGGTGAATGGCATCAGCTTCATTAAATGTTCTTTAGCGGCATCAACCACCCACCATGCCTCAAAGGTGTGATATCCTACCGGTCTTAGCATTAAACATGGAACGCGGAACTCTGGAGAAACAGTTGCACTAGTTGGATTCTTGAATAATGTCATGTAAACAAAAGGAAAGTTTCTTAAACTTTGACGATGAGGCCATCTCTAGCGCCCTCAGTCAGGAGTGCCTTATTTTTTAGGGCAACCATATGGCAAGCACAGTGTCAGCAAGCTCCTGTTTCCTTTCCACAGAGCGATGCTCATTTATCAACCTCAGAAGGAAGGACGAAAAACGATGGATCCGAGTCTGACACTCGACAGACTGAACAACCCTGGCATGACTCGAATTGTTGGCGACCGCAGACATAAAAGTCGCATACGGAAATGTGTCGTTCAAAGGTTAAAGTCGTACAACAGTCTTGTCCATCAAAGTACGGGTCATAACGTCGCTGCCAGTGAAATATGATTCTGAACACTGTTAAAGGTAACCCGTTTTGATTATTTTCTGATATTAACACCTGCTAAGAAATTTAAATGCAAATAAGTAAATCAAAGCGTACCGTGATTTCATTTCCATTTAAAATGACTCATCTACTGATGTAAAGTTTTGAAGGAGTTGAGTGTAGAGGGTGATCAGCGCTGAATCGTTGTCGCAACATCGTTCACGGGCGCTGTTCGTTTCCCGCTTATTAATATGTCATAATTTCTGTTCGCATGCATCCTCGTTTTCGAACACTACACGGAAAACGGTCAACAGAAACAAAAGCCACCGGTCGTAATTAATGAACAAGCAACAGTGCGAACGGCAGGGCGGTCGCCAGGACACGATGTGGACAGTGGATACGCGCGGCGATGGATGATCGCTGCTGTTCGTCTTTCTCGTTGATCACGCACTTATTTTTGCTGCCAACTTGTTCGAAGGCGAATTACGTAAATTACGTGTCCGGCGATCGGCTGACAGTCATTAATCGCTGCCATTTCATTCTCACCGACACTCGATCTCAAACGAACCGGAATCGATGCAACACGCTTACCTCAGTGACGGAGACGAGTCCGGAGGACAGCTAAGCGACGCAATGAGGACGACCGAAGGCCGGCACTCGCGCACTCAACGAACAACGGCGGACAGCGGGCGGACGAGCAGGGCAAAGAGGACGACCGCCTCGCGGTTCACGTCGCACTTCGACGTTAGCTGCTGGCCGAACCGAACCGAACCGAACCGACCCAACCGATCGACCCCCGGTTGTCACTGACAAAATGCGAAACGCGGAAACGGCAAGCGAAGGTGGAGCGTACAGCTCACGAAGGTAAGCCACGTGCCAGTGATTAGCTGATCGAACCGCCCCCACGCAGTTGCTGCCGAATAGCAAGCCAGCCGGGTGGGACCCCAACGCCTACCACCGTAGTACCTTTTGTCACAATACGGTAGCTCGGGCCCGGGTTCGGCTTCACAACCACCGTGGTGGCCATTGTCAATTTATGAAGAACGACGGTGGTCAGCCCCCTTGTCAATGACCCTTTGTCAAGTCGACAAACTACGACAAAAAGCTGAATAAGCTGAATTGTCGGGACGACCTTAAAATGTCACCACAGCGATGGCCATTGTGTCGTGGCCGTGTTTACCTGCGCCAAATTGACTGTGCGAAAATTGACTGCATCGGAACTGGATGCTGATGAAGAGGGCGACGACGGCGACGACGACGGTTGTTGCCATTAGTGCGTTTCGGGTCTCGCCTCCCGTGGCTGGCTGGCAGAGACAGCACCCTGACGATGTGTCCCGCCCTACTGCTGCCTACTGTCGCCGGCGGTTCGGCTGATGACCGACTGTCGCCGCCGTGACGGTCGTCGTTCGCCACCGCTCAAGGACATCAGGTTCTGTCCGTCGCTCGACCGGTGGGACACCACTTTCGTCAACTTCGTTGTCGTCGTCCACCACGTCATCGACAGTGGGCACAAATCACATCGAAGTGAATACGTGCCAAACGCCACCACTTAACGCTAATGGCGCTGTTGACAGCGAAGGGTGATTTTGGGGCGCGAACATGTTGTTTAACGAGTCAATCACTGGCCGGCCGCGACAACCTCGTTGCCGTTGCCTGCCAACTATGCATCGTTCCGGCAGCTCATTAATAACGCCCCGAAACGAGCAATTAATAATCGCCCTGTCTCCAGTCGTCCGTACAGCTAGCAATCAGTCACTTGGTTGTCGCCTAGGTACACTTCACTTCTTGCATAGGCTAGCGATGATGGATGTTCTTGCTTGAACCGTAAGCCCACCCGTCACCTGACCAAATGTGCACTTCCGCCGTTTGTTCCGTTCAAAATGCGGTCGCTATTACACAAATTGCGTGTAATACGCATCGCTTGATTTTTTGCTGCATCAAGAGCAAAGTTTAAACTAGAACTCCGTTCATCAGCGTTATCATTTGTTCGAGGGCAGAGAACTTGGCTTAAACATAAGCACACATCGATCAATAAATTAATCAGTTGCACTCACGTTATGATATACGTCCCGTGCATGAATATAGCAATAAAACCACACACCGCAGCGGATTCATTAACCGTCTGAGATGGTGAGGCCATTTCCAGCGAAGAGGTGATTAGACAGTGCTCTGCGAAGTAGGTAAGATAAACGAATGCCGCGTGAGAATGAGCGAAAACACATGTAGCTCCTTATGTCCTATGCGAGCTGCCGCCTAAAAAGCACATGACTGATCATACATGTTATAATATCAGGAAATTGCTGGAAGCACACAGTCGAAATCTAGTTTGCAGTGTGAAAAATATAGGCAAATTTTTATCGTCCTTTCGCCGCCTATGCTTACTCCCTTTTTGATATAAGTGGAATTTGGGGAACGAAGAAGAGAGGGTCACGGAAATGGAACCGACACATGGTAGGCTCATCGAACAGATTAAAGCCCATCCAATTGGCGAAGAATAACCACTACAATTCTCGGGCATTAACGGCTCACCAGTATCCTACGTACTAGACTTCAGGACAGTGCCGGATGACAACACACGGAGCTTCATTCTAAATAAGCTTACTGAGGTTCAATACGTTCCGGGTATTTCAGTTCGAACAGCACCAGACTCACACTGAAAAGCAACAGATACCAATCCTGAGGATGCACTCCCTTTAATTCATCGGAGGAGGGATGAATTCCGTACTGCGTGACTACATCGTATTGACGGCAGAGCAGTAAGCATTCAAATGAGTCAATTTTGACTAATCATTTCGGAAAGGAGATCAGTGCCACATCATGAAGTGCATGAGAGAATGAGAATGGCACCAATCATGGATATTTCACGTTTTTCCCTGAACTCTACTCCAATAATGATAAGAACTTAAAAGACTTCCGTAGTCAGCTAGACTTTTTATTACTCCTGCTCCAAGAGTATTTCGCTAACGTTGCTCTTAATGCATTTTTCCTTAATAGCTACTTTCTTAAGCATTGTGATTGATTCCCATGGTGTGATATGCTGTTTTACGATTCTGCGCTCCGCTAACGCAATTCAGGTGTTTCACCCTCTTGTTTCTGAACTTCCTTAAAACCTCATTAACTGGTTTGTTTTCACAGTAGCCGTCAAAACGGTTTGCAACCTGAGGTGTCTCCGAATTAGATACTTTTGCCTTTTCCTACGAGAGGCCAGAAGTTTTCTTGTGGGGAATTGCCCATCACCCTTATGCCATATCTGATCATGACTCAATTTATTCCTTTGATAGATTAAAGGAATTAATATAAAGCTGTCTTCTGTTCGATGAGTTTTCTAGAGGACTTTAGTTCAGTTCAAGTTTCCGTCGACTTTAATCAACTGTTTCATAATTGTTGTTTTGACTTAATTTATTGTAAATTAATGAACTGAAGGTCATTTTGCTTCAGAGCAGGTGGTTAAGGAACGGTGAGTGAAAGAGGGTCCATTTAGCATTGTCGTCTTTTGAACAGCAATGTCTACGAATCAACATGGATTTTCATTGTCGGTGAAACGCACGAGTCTTCTAGCAGTTTTTAGCCACTTTGTCAACGACTATGCGCCTAATGCTCTAAGGGCTAAAAACTCCTTCCAAAGAAGTCACGGACGGGCGTCTGTCGTCGTTTGTCAGAACGATCCGTAGAAAGAATAGAGACTTATCCAAAACCATTCTCCTCTGAGTGACAAAAAATGGCCGCAGGCGCGTCAGAGACCAGCGTCACACCGTAAAGCAGCTGCTACCGACAGACTTGTATGAGACCATGAATATGTATGACCTTTGTCGTAGCAACCATCATCGCCTAAATTATTCTGAGAGTCGAAATCATTTGCGTACTTTGTCCCTGATCCTGATTCCTCAAATGACGAGGTCCACAACAATAATAACAATAATGAGGTCAATAAAATAAATTTCCACTATTTAAAAAGGCAAAGCGTGGGCAAAAGTTTTTATTCATCACAGCTGCCGTTTCGGATGCTTATGAAACAAATGAAAACTCACAGAGAAGAGCAAAAAAACGCTTTGAATTAATGTGACGAAAACAGAACCTTCCAAAACTGCAAGGTTAGGCAAGCGCGTGACGGAAATTCAGAACACACACGCATTCAATGCAAGCGATTGCCATAATAAATGTTTATACCGAAGTAAATATTACAATGAGCGATGTTCAGCTGCAGCAGGGGACTTTAGAACGATCCTATCAATGGGCAAAATGGGGACTGCGTGATGTGACCGTTCAGAATTCAACAAAGTACGAAGTTACGAAGTCGTGCCGCATGGAGATCGGTCAGATTTCTGATTTGGCATGTCTTAGATTATAACTGTGAAAGCTAAATCACCTATGTTGTGCAATACAAATTCAACG